CCATGATGCTGTCCACGTTAACCAATCAAGTGATGCCAAGGGCTGTCAATCATCGGCGCTCGTGCTCGTAGCTGCGTGCATGCTCTGTTGTTTGTTTTCACGGAGCCTCCGAATCAAGCCTCCATTTGACTCTGAAACTACATGAAAACTGAACAAAGAATTCTGAACATCCGCGCTGAGTTACCTATTTATATACTGAACCTATATCCATAATCAGATCCTCTGCAGATCTGTCCAATAATGTTCAATTCATGATAATAGCTACTTCCGGGTTTACCGTGATCGCCTTTTTTGTGCATTAAAACATTTGTCATGAAAACGTTAACAAATAATTCTGAAAACCTCCGTGCATGTGTATTAATAATGTATATGTATAATGTGTTCTCCGATTAACATTTAGATGTGTTGATTGATTGTTACGGACACGTAGGCGTAGACCAATCAGAAAGGAAGGGGGAGGGAGCTTGGGTCGTTTTTTTCAAATAATGTACCTCTCTCTCTTTTATATCTCAAGTGATGACATCTTCTGTTCTTATTCACATTGTCACAAATTATATCAAAAGCTTTGTATGTCTTCGATCTGGAGGGACTCGGAAATACACCATATACAGGTGCAATCCCTGCTGTCTTATCTTCATTTCTCGACAACAATTATTTGGCTTATAATTTGTGTGACATACAATACATGCATTTTTGGACAGTTACAAATGCATAAACCATGAATGCTGTCTTTTGACACAAAGATCTAGTTGCACTTACGGTGTATCAATGACTCAGAGTTAAACAGGATTGATCCAGCTTCCTTGTAGCTTGCGCCACACCTTCACCTTATTCGACCAATAGCGCTGTCTCATAAAAATTATGCCAATAACGTTTCACAATTTCAGCTCAACTTTTGCACCTCCGACTTCAGCCAGACCTCCTTCCTCTCTTTGATTTATAGCCCTGCAGGTTCACTCTGGGCCCCTCAAGTGTTTACTCACCACAGGCATTAAACCTAACTGTCAATTAGGAGTGGAAGTCCAGGCTCGTAATGGCCTTGTTTAAACTGCTGTGAGGACTAGCATTAGCGTCGACCAGTCTTTCTGTGTGTAAACGACGTGGACATGTGTCATGGCCGCCCTTGATCATGGCGAGCAGTGAACATTTGGCCTGACACCTTTACGAGAGGACAGGACCCCGCACTCGCGTATAAATCCCACCTCCACTTTGATGTGCTTTATCGAACCCACCTGTGGCTGATTTGTACGAGACTCGACTGCCGTTCACTCCCCGTCAATAATTAGTGCTACTTATGTTTGCCTGAGCTCAGCACTTATTTACTACAAGGGCATGGAAGGGCTGTGGTGGACGAAGGAAAATGACTTTGCTGATTACAACAGACCACTTTAAATCAGGAAATCATTTATAGCACAGGTTTTTTGACCAAAAACCCAGCGTTGATCAGTGTGTAAGGAAGAGAATACTCTGGGTTTTTGGTTAAAATCCTGTGCCCGGTGCTATAGTGTAAGGGGTAGGAGGTTTAGACTATTTGCGAAAACACACTACCGAATACAGCAGTAACCAATAAAAGCACTCTTTTTTTATAGCCTATTACATGTAGGTCAGGTAAAGAAGGGTATAAAAACCCTTCTTTACCTGACCTATATGTATATGCAGATAATTATCTGCATATACAACACTTTGCAAAATGACAAGTGTACCAATAGTGAAGCTCTCAACCCAATAATCTCAATAATTTGTTTGAAAATGTCTGTATTGTTCCATATTGGATGATAAGGTTTTCAAAATATTCATACTTTGAAAATACAGTAAGTTTGTTTTGACCTTTTAACATTGATACATTTCTTTCTTCCCTGTAGTAAAAGGCAACACAAGTCAATACAACACGCCTCCCTTTCCCACAGTTGACCTGGGTGTCAATAAACACAGGTCCACATTGTCACTCACAGATGAAACTACCAATGTGTATGACATGTTTAGGTCACAGACAAAGTGGGCCACTGTGGCGCAGCTGTCTCCCATCCAAGTACAGACCAAGTTCTGTCTTGCTTAGCTTCTGAGCAAGCTGATGAGCAAGTGTCAAAAATGTGATATTTCAGTCATGTGAAATGGAGCATAGTTTTACCTGTAATTTACTGAGACATTGCTACACTGCAGCCATAGAGAGTGTTTATTGCAGTGTATGATCACATTAGCCCGCCGCGCCCGCCTCACTGTCTGTATGCATAATTTACTAATTCCCACTTAGTATCGCTGTGAATTATCTCTTTCTAAACACAAGCCTGCCTCTTTAGGGATAATCAGCGTTCACTTCCTGGTGGAGAGGCTCACAGGTGTGCAGCCCAGATTAATGTCGGAGGCATTTTGGAGGAGAAAGGGTTGATGGGAAGATAAAAGACACAAAAGAGCTCATGAATTATCTGCATATACGAGCTGCTTATTTGATCAGTGATAAGGTGGAATGAGTCCACTTGCTCTCTCGCTGCAAGCTTATGAGCCCTGTGATAGCATCGTGTGAACGCCAATGACAACTCGTCCATATAGTTCCCAAGAAGTTAGGAAGAGGGATGCAAGTCAAAATGTGTGATTTATTTCTATTTTTTTTTTATATTGTTGATGTCACCCGACCAGATCATTAAATCTCTGGGGATTCTCTATAAAACTTCCAGGGCCCTCGTCCCCATGCAGGTCGGAAAACATTCCTTTTCTTTTTTTTGCAATGTCGTTATGTACATTGTGTATACATAGTGCGTATACATAGTTTGTTCTATGATTGTGTTTTGCACTGTTCCACCTTCTAAAACCAAAAACCAAAAACCTGCAGGTCATAATAGAGCTCATACTTTACCAATATTGTTAAATCAGGATTTGGAATGCATTAATCAGCTTGAATAAATAAAATCCTATCAAAATATAGTATTCTCATAACTGAGCTAACATCACCATAACTTAGTCAATATTAATTAATAACCATTTCCGATCCAGGAATATAGACACAATATTTTGCTTGAACAATATTTCTCAAGTCTGTAACAAAGCAGCATATGGGTAAACAGTTCTTCAAAAGGTATATTAAAACCCCATCGCAGTTGTGACTAATTGTGGCATCAATTTGGAAAGGCTTTTGATAACAACCTTCCCAGCATGACGTCAACATGGCTTCCCATTTTCACCTGCAGTTGCTCTCAATCAAATGGTGGAAGTGTTCAAAGGCAACCCAGTCACAGACACAACACAAACTCTTTTCATTGAGAACTAATGTTGACGTTTGGATGGTGGAGCGGCCCCCGAGAGAGAAGGAGACGTGCGGTGTGGCTGCTCCCTGTGCTTTAGAAAGTGCCTTTGGTTCTATTTGACAACACAACATGGGTCCCCTTGGGAGCACACCTGGGAATAAAGCATGCGTTTTAATAAATCAGATCCTAATGAAAGCATTTGGAAAGAGTAGAGGGTTGTGTTCATCCAGTTCGAAGACTCAAAATATGATACAAAAAGAGATAAGGAATCAGATTCAAACAGTGGGACTGTTTAAGCTTGAAACTCAATAAAGAAACTATTTCAATTGATTCCTAATCTGTAAACACTTTCTTATATATGACATGTTGGGCTGCCCATGAACACATTAATCAACCCTATGATATGAATTTCTAAAGTGGGTTGTACCCTACGGTATCTGCCCTTTATTACTTCCATCCAGGAGTGAGAGAAGGAGCAGGGAGAGAGGAGGAAACTTGAGGTGAAAGGGAGTCCTGCTGGAGATTTGATTTAAGCTCAGATTTAGTTGGGAAATGAGGTTTAACTTTGACCAGAAGGGATGTGTATAGCCAATGATAAAAGAGGATTTCCAGTATCTCTTTACTAATAACACTAATAATACTAATGTTAATATTAATACTACTAGTACTACTACAAATAATAAAAATAATAATAATCATCATCACTATTAATATTAAAATTATAATAGCCTAAAAAAAGACGTCATTGGGTAAGAAAAAGAAGAGAAAAACCTGTCCGATTAGGGCCTATCACACAGCCCATTGGAGCTGGCAGATGCTTAGATAGACTTTTATGGATTGTTCAATGGCGTGCCATAATGAAGCAGGCAGCGCTCTGTGACCCATGCCGAAGCGGCCTGAGAGGCTCCAGGGACGGCCCCGCTGGGAGACCATAATGCCCATAATGCCCTGTGCGTCCCTCGCCTGTATTAATCACACTGAAAAATAAATGCTGGTTAGGGAGCGCACAGCAAAAGGCTTTGAAAAAAGACGGAATAAGCGCCCCGTTTATTCTACTAATCAAGGTCATAATAATAAACCTGAAAATGACGCTCCATTTACTAAGAATGCGCTTTCCCCATCTGCGGTTGACGCTGGTGACACAGACCTGATGTAAATCAACAGTGTGTAGGTTGTATAGAAATGGCCAAGCTTCGAAAAATAGTTGAGAAAACATTTTTAATATTCTCCTTTAATAATGTAGGTAACATACCCCATCAGTGTCGTTCTCATTATTTACATTCAAAGATATAAATTAGTACAAGTCCTGATAACAACAAGATTGCGAAGCTTTCAATTTCCAAATGCTTCTCAAATAAAAAAACCGGTCATAATATATATGCATATATATTTACAAACGCTGTCATTTCCCAATGTTTGCAATACAACTTGCATAAATTATAGGCATCGTATCGCCATAATCATTTATAAAAATAAATATCAAATGTAGGCTTTTCCCCTTCGAAGTGACGTCTTCATCCAGGCCTTCTTAATCATTCAAAGCAAAATCCAGTGAAAGGGGCCAAATAAGGTTTTGCACGCGTTTAAATAGTTAAAATAATATATCGTGGCAAAAGGACAAACTAAATGAACCTGAGTATTAACATATAAATCACATAGGAGCAATTTCTCAAACCAAAATAAATTATATGAAATGTCCATAAAACTTATTTTCCAAAGTGTTCCAAGTTTAAGGGTCTGTGGCTTGTGTGTGGAGCAGCTTCAGAACTGGTGGCACTGGATACGAACTGCAGCGTAAAGAGCGTAACACATGAGGCTAAAAGGTGATGTCTCTTTCACGCATTTATTGTCAAAGCTATTGTAACACCAGCGACCTATACCATAGGTAAATCCTTTGAAAAACCAGAAAGTAATAAATCAAATCTCCGTTTCCACATGAGTTATTCTAGGCCTGCGTAAAACTGCTCTTAATGTTTAAGCAACACGCCAACACGTGAGAAAAGATTTATTTTCATATGGCTGACTCCTGTGCGATTAAAATGATCCTACGCAGATAAAATATGGTTGGACTTGGGAGGCTGTTCCACTCACTCAGACAAGAGGATATAATTCCTGCTCAAAGCTATGGCAACTATTCCTGCGCAATGAATTGACCGTGTCAATGTGCACGCGCATATGCGATCATGCGCGTGTGCGCTGTTTAAACGTGGTCTTATGGTGTGAAATGTTTGTAGTTCGTAAAAAGCTCCTTTTGTGACAAATAATAATACAAATAATAATAAATTAATCTACACCACTCATATAATTAATTAGTGCATATTGTTGATCGTTTAAAAGAGCTATTCGTGTTTGCATCAAAACTGTATTTTTTTTGAGGAAAGAAAATGTGTGTATGTGTGTGTGTGTTAATAAGGCAGATAACGCACACTTCTCCCAACGTGAGTTTTACCAGCAGTAGCCTAAAACATAAGAGTCACGCTCACTATATATTACTTTCCCTGTTTTTAATACAATTGCAAATGTCTATCACGAATTTCATCAGGTTTGCAGTAATCACGTGGTCACCAAGTTCCTCATCTTACGTACCTTTCTTTGCTTCTAAATGTGTGGATCTGAAATGGGACTGCTGTTCAACTGTATTGTTATTTTTCGCAACAGGGGAGTCGGGCCTGAGTTTGCCCTCGTGCTGATTGTGATGATGCTGTGGTGAAGAGGAGGAAGAGGCAGCAGCAGCCGCCGCCGCGGCAGCTGCGGCTAGACTGACTCCAGAGGAGTTGGTGTAGCGCAATATGCCCTGGCCTTGCAGCGGACTGAAGTTTCCATAGTTTGTATAATTGCTATAAAAGGGAGACGTGTAATAAATAGGTCTTCCAATGATGGAGGGGGGCGGGTAGAGCGAGGGTGGGCTGGCAGAGGAGGGGGCTGTGAGGAGGCCCCCACTGGAGGAGGGGCAGTTCGCTTGCTGCGGCTGTTTTTGGTCCGAGGTAGCGATCTCTGCAAGTGACCACAGCTTAGGCTTGACCGACGGGTTCTGAGACGGGGCTCTGGCCTCAAGAACTTTGTTTCCCATGAGGCTGCGCGCTAAGTCCTCGCGCTGCAGGTGGTGGTGGAGGTGATGGAGGGGGTGGTGCGGGCTGAGAATGGGGGCTTCTACCCCGGTGAGCGGTGACGACGTGATGGGCTTTGGGGTAATATGGCCCCGTGCGTCGAGGTGGCGTTCCATCGCGTCGTCTACGTCCTCATCCCCTGTGCGCTCCCCCGCACGACACGTCACCTTCTCCACGTCAGACTCCGCTGAGCACGAGTGGTCTGTTAGAGTGTCCACGTGCAAACTAATGCCTAAGAAGAGAAGAGAATAGGACATATTTCAACAAAGAAAAACAAGTGAAATAGACATATAAATAATAATATTGGATCTAAGTAAACCTAAAATGGGCTATAATACAGGATATAATAAAGAAATACATTTTAAACGTAAAAATGTTGTTTCAAGTTCATTTTTAAGCCTAATTGCAAAGCCCAAATGTGTGTGTTAAATGCATACATTTATCAAATACATGTGCGTAATATGAACATAAATACATAACATAATCACATTGCGTATAAAATAATCCACATTTCCTGGTGACTAAATCCTTATGTTATTGCAGCATTAGTGGAGCTGAGCAGTAAATAAAAAGCACACGTGCCCCTCCTTCCTCCCCTCACATCCTGCCCAGAATAGTTAAACGGATCATTGGCTTGTGTACCCCACCTTCATCCTCGGCTGAAGCCTCGCTGTTATCCAGAGTTTTCTCGGACCTCTCTATTTCCTTCCTTTCCCCATCGCCGTCGTCTTCATCTTCGTCTTCGCTCTTGTTCCTCGGGGCCCACGTCATCTTGTTCTCCTTCTTGAGTCTCCTCCTGGCGTTGGCGAACCACGTGGACACTTGGGTCAGGGTCATTTTGGTGATGATGGCCAGCATGATCTTCTCTCCTTTAGTGGGGTACGGGTTCTTCCGGTGCTCCTGCAGCCAGGCCTTCAGTGTGGCCGTGGCGTCTCTCGTGGCGTTCTTGCGGTACGCCGGGTCGTTGAGCTGGTACGGGTATCCGGGACTGCCGTACGGGTGGTAGCTGAGCGCCCCAGCCATGCCCGTGCTGTGAGGGTCATAGGGTGAGCTCTGGAGAAAAAAAAGAAAAACATCTCATTCAATTAAAAGTTACGAAGCATCTAACTAATAACACGGCAAAAAAAGATAACCAGAATTTTCTCTTCTTTGTCATATGCATTTTAGTAAAAACGCACGTGTATTGAGTGTCTATATTTCATTGTTATTGATAATGTAATTTCATTTGTTTAAATTTGCATTACAGTGCGTTCACATGACCACAAAGTTAACCAATTGTTATGCTTTGTCTATTCAATCATCATAAACAAAGTGTGTTATTGTGGGAAGAGGCCGTGCAGTGCCACTCTAACTAACTAATGACAATGATCGTTATCGGATTATCAACATAAAAAAAAAATCACACACTGACAAAAATGGAAATACAAATTCAAATAATCTAATCCCTAATTAATTATTTGCGTCTCCATTTGAGGCGTTTTTGCCGCGTCACGGTAGTGCCATTATGTGAACACATCTTCCATTAATAGCATTACAAATCCTATTACAAATCACATTGAAGTGCGACTTCCAAAATATCTCACAGAACTTACTTCAACACGCGTGAATACGTCCAGAAGGTCTACAGTTAAATCAAATATAATGCCTTGACTGTACTGCCTTGTAGTTCACGTCACGCTTCAAATGGAATTCCTCGATTTAATCACAGAGATCAGGACAATAAGGCCCTTGGATAAACTTCCCAGTGTGTTGTACAGATCATTTTCAAAAGTAAAAATATACGTCTTTCCGTGCCCTGTGCCCAACAACACGTATAACACTATTTTAACATGATATAAGAATGAAGGGATATTTTTTACCACATACGACGGGAATCCAGCGGTGGGGTCCGTAGAATACGTTAGTGGACTGGAGAAGCCCGTGCCTGCAGACGCGGTGAAAGCAGCCGATCCTGGGTACGGGCTGAACGCGGAGCCAGAGGACGAGCGCGCCAGTTCTTCATTCCGCGGAGCAGCCAAAGACGAGGGCCCATAAGACGGACACGAATACAGCGCCAGCGAGCCCGGAGGCTGGTATAGATAAGCCTGAGGATAGGACATTGATGGGATATGAACAGATCGCCTATTCCCCCTAAAACACGCTGAGCAAAAGCGCGAAGAAAGCCAAAGTACAATCAAGTTAATAATGAGCCGCTAAAGCAGCCATCAAACAATGAATATAAAAAGTCCTCCTTCTGCTGCCCCTTGACTAAAAAGCCCTTGAAAGGTGTGTTAAAGTGCCCACATAGAGGCAATGTGGCATGCGTCTTGATCCCCTAGCGTCCGATGTTTTTAGTACGCAGCGCTGTGAAGTGAGGAGTTGGGAGGGAAAGAGCCAGTGGAGTTTCAGACGCACGGAGCGCAGGGGGAAACTGGAGCTGTCACTCCGGCTCATCTGAATATCCATCCCCGCCCCTTTTCTCTGCCTCATACACACTGAATTTCTGGCTCACAAACAGCGACTCCACGCACAGCAAAAAGTACAGCGACTGGAAATACGATCCGTTTACTTTGGCAATGTCTTTCTTATACCGCCATCACAAAACTGGATTAAACCCGACGATTTTGTTATTACTTTTACTGATGGGGACCGTGCGTTTGATAAAGTCATCTATAAGCATGAATACTTTGCGCTTCAGTGCGTTTATACAACAATTTGCTTTCTTTACGCTATGTTTCATTTAGGTGTGTATGTGTAGCGCAATAGGAGTGTATTAATCAGAGAAAACTTGTATATTACGTCCAGGTCTCGGTCTTATGTCGCCAATACAGCTTTATCAAACAAGAACACGTCCATGCGCACAAGGGGCAGTGCGCGCTCCGGCCTGCGGGAGGCGTACACGGGTTTCCACTATAGCTCTCACTCAACACCTCAAACAACTTTTTTTGATTTGTGTAGTTGTGCATGATGTTGATCCTTGTAGTTTTTCTCATAAGAATAAAATGCAGTAGTTTTGTTCATTTTCATAACGTAAATTAAATGATGGGTTGCATAATATTCATGTATGAAGGCCTCTAAAGCCTTTTCTCTCCAGTCCAGACATTATGACCTCTGTTGGACGCGGCAGTAACAGCAGAGTGTGTGGTGAAATCGAACCCCCGGAGGTGGCAAATGAAGAGCGGGTATAGTGGCCAGTGTCCCTCATTAGTATTCATATGACTCAATGTATGCATCCATCAGGTGCTTGTTCCCTCATCGTGGCGCGCTCTGACTCTCTTGTAAACACCAGCGCTAAAGAGTTGCAGCTTGTTAACGGCCGGGGCTAATTTCGTCCATAATAAATCCATATATTACAGTTCGCAGAAAGAATGGCCATAACTAATACTCACGTAGTGTCATTTCGCTAATTAAACACCACACATCCCATGGTGCTCTATATTCAAATCTGCCCATAATGACTTGCTGTTATGAGAGCAATATTTCTCCTTAGGCTACTTTAGGAGGTGACATGACACTGTTACAACTTGCACATTACTTTGCCACAGCTCATGCACGCCCTACATGACAATCGACGCAAAAGGGAATCATAAGAATACTTTTAACACGATTGAAAATACAGAAGAGCCTCTCCTTTAACTTTTTCATGTAGTATTCTTCATTTGCTGCTAAATAAATCCATCTTCTGTTGCTGTTATTTCTCATTTGCGCTATTCTTGGTTGAACTGGACTTACATACATTGAGGCCCACACCAGGGGGCACTGTCTCCTCTGCGCAGGCCGCAGACTGGGTGTATGTGCAGGGCTGAATTTAGTATTAGTTGTCGGTTACATTTTCAGGTCAGTTTAAAAACAGATCTCAACTATTTTAGTCACCGCTTAATGGATTTACAAGGCATGGAGCAGTAAGGACTTGATAAGTAAATGACAAAAAGTAGGAGAAAATATGTTGGTAAATCAAACTTCACTTTTGAGAGAGCAAGAATGCTTTAACCATTAATCATCAAGCCTAGATTATTTAGTTTTAAGCGATGACATTTCATCCTATATATATATTTCAAAAATAAAGTTATTTGTGGCATGTATTTCTCAATAGATTCAACGTGGTAAAATTTAGAAATCTAAATCAGGCTCTAAATTTTTTAGAAAGTAAATTATATGAATCATATATTTATTAATTAATTGTGTGTATGGGTATTTTAGAACTTGTGTATGTATCTGTATTCAAATCATTGGAGGAAAAAAAACCTGGCAAACAGCAACATCAAATTTTTACAACTTTTACAATTTGCTATAGGCCAAGTTAATTGAATACTGGGGCCCAATAATAAGACTTGTTGTTGGTCCTATTTTAAGTGGAGGACGAGGTGTCAGAGGAGAGCAGGGAAGCAGTGGGCCGGGCTGAGGCGACAGGCCGTCATCTCTCTCCCGCCTGGCATCTGCCCATTGCTGCCAACCTTCTTCTAATCAGCAGCCATCCATGCGCTTGGCAGTGGAGGGGGCTCTGCTGCAGCCCCTCGCCCCAAGTTAAAAACCCTGAGCCCTATCACTTTGTAAACAGGTTCCTTCAGGGCACCTCCAGCGAGGACGGCTCTGATGTGCTCAAGTGGAGAACATTGGTGGCTGCAGTGCCTTGGATCCATTTAGCTGCTAGGACTCTTGTTGATGCTGCTGTTGTTCTTGTAGTTTGTTTTCAGCTTAAATCACAAGGAGGCACATTCCCTTTAAGTTTGATTTGTCTAACATGCTGCAGACTGACATGGATGTTGGGGAAACACTTCATGTGATTTTTCTGTCAAATGTTGTGCTTATATGTCACTGTATAATTCTGTTGCCTGTCTGAGCATTTGAATCAAGAATATGAAAGAAAAGTAAACAACTTTCATTCAGCTAAGCTGTAGGTACCAAAATACCAAATATCAAGAAAAAGAGGATCAAGAAAAAAAGCATACTAATTATAGAAATTATGAAGCATGGATTTCAAACACACACAAACACCCAGACAGGCTGATTGACGAACCAAACGGTCCCTGAAAATCAAAGGGAGGAAATAAAAGAGGACACAAAAGGGAAACAATTTGAGAGCGCCTGAGTCTCTCCTGTGGCTCTGCAGCCAAGGGTCGGCCAGATAGGGTTGCCTAGAAAGAGTGTGCTGACAGCCAGTGTCACTGGGCTTTGTAATCATTGTGCTGGGCCTGATAGGGTTACTAGTGGCTAATCCAGGCTGACCTTGGTTAGGTGCCCTGAAAGAGGATGGCTTTGTACAGTGGGGACAAGCTACCAGTATGACGGTGATGCTGACATATAATGTCTGCGTGGGGACTTGCCACCACAGCTCTTTTGTTGTGCTATCAAGTTGCGACTCTCAGCCACACACACAAAATGTTTTCTCTCTCTCTCTTTGAGGAGATGGAAGAAAGCAAGCATCTAAATCAGCACAGCTTCTATCTCCAGGTTCAAGAGGTCAGACTGCTGTTGTTAGTGTTAGAATGTCCTCAAAACAATTTCAACACATACTGTATGCTGTTCGTGTTGGTGGCCAATTTATTTATAAAAACAAACTAAATACACTACTTTTACTGATAATTGGTGTATTCATGTTTTTGTAATATTATATTACGATATTAGAAATATCCAATTAACAATATCATAATAATAAAATAATGGAGTTCGAATCAAGGATTGGCACAGAGGCCACACTCACAAATCCATCTTTTTTTACATGCACAGTATGTGGACAACAAAGACTCACACACTCACAGCTCGAGGCTCCACCGGTGTGAAGGCAGTAGAGAGAAGGCATCTTGCCTTTGTTGCTGCCAGGGAGAACTGTAAACGGGAATGGGATTCCCATCCCCTGGAGCCTCCTGCTAATCCACAACAGGCCCACTGCTGGATTACTGGGGACATCAGCTGACATGCCAGCCAACGTACTGATAAGCACGTGCATAGGCACACAGTGCAAAGTGTCTCACAAGCTAATGTCTGCTGTATGTACATACTGTATGCCAACTATGCAATATGTTCACACGCAAGCACATCACTCAAATGGCATCACTGCAGGAAGCATTCACACGCAGTGGGAACTCCAAATCACACACATAATCAAGACCTGGAACAATCTCATGGATTTGCGACTCTGGCAGGACAATATAGAGACCTCATATTTGTGCAGACAGAATTGGCACAGGGCCCTGCTGTCCTTCATTGTTCCTGCTGCTGGAACTAATGTATAGAAGTTACTATGGGCTTCCGATTCCTATACAATGACATCTTTATCTACAAGTCCAATTAGCTTAGTTCAAACCGTTATTCTTCGTACCATTTGATTATCTTTGTCTTGGATTTCAGTTCATAGTTTTGTGTTAACTGACATTGATTCAAAAAGAACAATGCACCCGGTATATCATCCAAAGACATTGCAGAGCCGCTCCTCGACAGCCCAATCAGCAGCAGCACATTCAAATGCACTCAGGTAAATTCAGTCTGTGATTAGGTCAGGCGTGCGGGTTGTATTTGTGGTAAACAGTGTTCCGCTCTGGGGGCTAAATGTTTGTGTCAGTAAAGAATAATTACACTCCTCCACGCTGTATCTGTGGTGTTAATCTTTGTCGGCAGCGGCCACTTTATTCTCTCGTTTGTTTAATAGCTCACGAGGAGCTTTATTGTTTCAAAGTGCTCGATACAAACCTGTAAATTCTGTGTTGAACATTTGCCCCTGTGGCGTTGTGGTTCAATGCCGGCAAATGTTGAAATAAAGCAAGCAGCCATTGATCCGCAATCAAAGATCCAAGACAGGAGGTTATTTACATGTACAGGGCCGGCCACTGCAGCTGTACGGCAAGACACATGCGTTGTTAGACTCATTTAGCAGCGGGTCGTTGGCACTATTGACTGGCCAGGTCTGTACAAAAGTAATCAGCTCCTCTCAGTGATGCATACCATACTAGAGTTTGTTACTTATGAAAAATGGGATGGATTCTCAGAAGTGGAGAGAGAGAAATAACCTTTTTCTCAGCGCTACAAGTGTTTTCTTTGTGACACTTGGAGAAGGTCAATTGAGTTCTCCAGTCTGTTATCAGAGTGCTTTTTGATGTGCTGCTACAGATAATGGAGTAGACGG